ATATATATATCACTCAGGTCCACCTTCCAAGGGGTGGTAATATCTGTGGTAGGCTGGTTCTTTCCATTTCAATCATTAATCAAGAAAATGTTCCACACACTTGCCTAAAGGCCAAATCTAATGGAGACATTTCTTTCTGCTTGAGATTTCATCTTCCCAGATGATACCAGCTTGTATCAAGTTGACCGAAAACTAACTAGCACATGTGGTTAGTAGAAATTATATATGTAGCTTTTACATGGGCTTTGTTGTAAGAATAAACTTAGATCAAGACCTAACAATGCTAACTATGACTGTTATCACCTTCAATACTTGACCTCCAAGATGTTTGCCCTCCCCCTTTAAAAACAAGGAAAATAATGTCTACTTTGTACAGTTGTTGTCAATATTAAATGAAATATTTAAAAATTCTAGGGCCTGGTGGTGTAAGTGAATGGTAGGTGCCAACTTAGCATGCTGGAGGCCTCGGGTTCAATTCTCAGCTCCAACAAAAACCAACACAACTTAGTACCATCTTGACACATACTTAAAGCTCAACAAATGTTGTACTAAAACAGCGCTGTAAGTAGGCTCGAAAGAAAGGGATGAAATTGGTTCATTGCTAAGTTTAGGTTTGTTAGGCCCCAGGGTACTCTGGAAATTGCTCTTGTTACAAAAGAATCACAATGGAGCTGTTTCGGAAGACAATATCAGGAACATTGTCAGAGTTTGTAAACATAAAATGGTAGGCTCTGAGATCTGCAGACTGACGAGCTGGACTTCAATGCACAGTAACATTCTGGAAGAGAAGATTAAGCAGATGGTTTGTGACCATTTAGTGAAGACTGTAGTGGTTGCTAGGAGCTAACGGGGGTTTACCAAGAGTGAAATTTTTCTGAGCACCTCACTTCTCTTTTTAAATAGTCTTGTGTGGCTTATATCATGGAGAAATGTCATTTCAGCAAAGTCTCCGTATTGTCTCCTGGATAAACAGTAAAATAGGGGCTCGAGGATAGTGCTCTGGAGTTTGCAGTTAAGTGGCAATCAAAGTCAGCTATCTTGGTGGGAGTCTCTTGTGGAATACAACTGTCCCATTCAAAGTTTTAGATAGGAATTTTCAAAAGAGAACCGAGTGGTTGCATTCTAAATAAGCAAACAGCCCAAAGTTGGGAAGAGTAGTAAGTACAATAGATGAGTGAATCGATATTTAGAATACCTTGGTTGTCTAAAGTGCTACATGGATTCCCAAAAGACTGAATTCAACAAAGCTTGGGGCTAGAGGTATAGCTCAGTGGTTGAGTGATTGCCTCATATGATCACGATCCTGAGTTCAATCCCCAGAGGTGTCAAAATATGGCAACATCAACAAAACAAGTATGGTGGTTTAAATGTAATTGGCCTCCATAGGCCTACAGGGAGTGGCACTATTAGGAGGTGTGGCCTCACTCACTCATTCACTCATTCATTCACTCACTCACTCATTCAACAAATATCTTTTAAAGACAATCTCTGTCACACCCTTCTTTAGTACTGGGGAGACAGTAGCGACTGAAATCATTGAGATTTCCTACCTACATAGAACTTACCTTCTTATGCATGAAAACTTATTCAGCTGATGAAGGCAAGAACCTTACATAACCAGTCATTTGCATATGCATGATATATAGTTCATGTTGAGCAATAGCTTCACTGTTATTCAAAGCTCTGCTTGTGATAACTGTATTTTCATACCTGGGTCATTACTTTTGCTTGAGTAACACAGTCTGGCCAAATGAAAGCCACTAGATAAGAGACATAGCAACTACTTTGTAAGATGGCAAATAGAAGATGGATCAATGACAAAAAGAAAAGCCTGGAAGGAGGCATTATGAAGCTCAGTGTTCTGCATGGAAGACATTGTAGGTTTAATCTCTGTTGCTCCCAGAAGTAATAATTAATGACATGACACTAATTTCTAGTGAGTATTGGACTCCCTGAGAAGGTTTCTTGGTTGTAGTCTGTGTGCTCATGGGGGCTGAATCTTCCTCTTGTTTTGTTCCCCACTGACTTCCTAATTCCAGTGACTGTGGCTGGTATATGGTGGCCTCCCAGCAGATATTTGTCGGATGAATCAGGGAAAGAAGAGTCTCTGTTTGTGGTTAAGCATTTGTAGCACACACACTGCCCTAGCCTCAGAATGAGTGGATATTTGTCTGGTATTTTGTAATGATAATCTATAAATTTTTAAATGTTAAATTTAATCTGTCTCTATCATAAGGAGTCTGGAGTAGAAATAAGTGATTAAAAGGAGATGTAGGAGGCCAGAGTGTTTTCTTTTACTATGTTTTAACAGCTCCAAGTTAATTAAGCCACTTTTCTTAAGAGACATTGAAGAGGCCATTTTAGGATTTATTTGAAATCACTCAACTACGCTTATTCAAACATTAACCATCGCAACTCAGCCCCATCATTTTCTTAAGATCTTTGCTGTAATTCTCACCCACATGGGACCAGCTTCCTTTAACCTTAAAGGCAATCCCAGAGTTTGCCATTTAATGCCTAATTGTTCATGGTTTGCTCCACTGACACAAGATTTCCCCCTTTTTTTCTTATATTCTTCCAGATACTCAACAAAAACCCAGTCAGGGACAAATTGCTCCATTACTGGCTCATCGAAACACGAGTTGAGAAGGAGAGAGCTAGTATGGTAGTATATTTTCAGCTGCTTTCATTTTGGTTTGCCCCTGCCATCTGTGGTTCCTCTCTAGAATGGTCCAGTGGATACAAAAAATTAATCTTCTGTCAGCACTCAGTGAAGACACATGGGCTCTCTAGTCCACACACCCAAGTCAGGCACTGTGGCCCTTTTTACAGCCTGCCATTTTGACTAGTCGAATGCTTTGTACACAGCTGAGTCTTTGTATGCAGAGAAATGGTTATTAACTGTTGAGTGACTGAACTCTTGGGCTCAAAAAGCCTTCTTGGTTCAACTTCCAAAGAATATCAGAACCATAGATGCTGGTCTTTAAGCTCATGAAAACATCAGATTTCCAGTGGCGCTTACAAGCCATATGACTAACAATGCAATAGCTGGGACATATTTATACTTTTAAAAGTGTGTGTTATTTTCTAGAGTTTGGAGGCAACTGTCACTCCAGTATTCTGTTTAGCAGCTCTTTGTGTGGTCCCATTCATCTCAATTACCTATAAATCTAGGCCCTGACAGCCCAGAGTAATGAGACTAAGTAAAAATATTTATGCTCTTATAAAGGAAAAAATGCACTTAATATATACTTTCTTTGATCGTATTCTCTCAAGCAGAGGCAATAATGACAATCCCACAAATACATAAGATCGTAACAATCTCCATTTAAGCACCAAACTTGTTTCTTTGGTGGCAAGGTTATTTGATATATTGGTATAACTCATTGCTGATACTATTCTGCTTCACTTGTGCAGTGGCTATTACTGACAGATAGGTAGGCAGGTGAAATGTGAATTTAATGTCATCATTTTAGCTCCCACAAAAAACCATGTTTACTAAGAGCTGTAGACCTCAAAGCAAAGCATTGCCGCTCTTCGCTAATTATCTTCTCTTCTTCCAACTCAAATCAAGAGAACCCTCTGTTTATTCCACCTTTTGGTTTTGTTTTTGCAGAGGGAGCTATCTGATGCTGGGGAGGGGGAGATCTCTCCATTTTCACAAGCTACCTATGGAAGGTTGCTTCTTGTTGTTTAGTGGCAATGATCTTTAAATATCACCCATCTATTCATTCAGCAAATATTTACTAAACAGGTCTGTTGTAGGTACGAGGGGGAAACAGATGAGTTGTGTGAAGCTGCTATCAAGGGGCTCACAAGAATCTGCGTGCTCCATCTTGTCTTTAAATGGTTCATCGAGGGTGTAAGCAACAGGCATGTGGTAAGAGCTAATTAGCTCATGGAGGAATGAAATGACTCTCCCCTCATATGCATTCAATAAATATCGAGCCTGACATTCAGAGCAGAGACTGCTCTTCATGGATAGCTCAGCTTAACAGCTAGAATGGATCTGTTTCCTTCTTCTGGGCTGCCTTTGTCCTCCCAGTTGGAAGTGTGGTCCTTAGGATCTGCATGTTGGTGGGAAATATAGATATTAGGTCCCTAGCCTGGACCTACTAGATCAAAACCTGCCTTGTCACCAGATCCTCAGGGGACTCATTTGAGCGCTGAGTGTGCTGAGATTTGAAAATTGCTGATCTTATCTCCTTGTCTCTCGGGTCTCTTTAGATATCCACATTGTCTGATGGTTTTAAAACACATAGTGTTTGGCTTCGCCCTGGTTTTGTATTGCGTAGTCAGAGCCTGAGCATTTGCATTTGTGCCAAACTCCCAGGATTCAGATTGTCCTTGTAATCCACGAATCCCAGGGATTATCAGGAGAAAGAGGAAATAAGAAATCCAACTATCCAGACAGAGATGACTTAAACCTGTATTCTTTTTCAATTTTGAAAAATGTAAAAGTTAGATTTCCTAGCCACTAGTTAGTTCACTTGGGAACTGAATTTGCTGGCGGGACAAATGTGAATTGCAGGGAGGGCATTCAGGTTGGTTTTCCCCAGCCTACACTGAACATCACCATGAAACTGTTCCCTGGTGTATATTTTCTGTATAGCAGCACAAGCAGCTGATTGGACTAGTCTGATGTCCCCACATTGAGACGGAAGAAAGAAGTTGGGCTCTACCCAGGATGTCAGCCGTTTGACATGGGGCTATGTGAGGAAATACAGTGTTGAGAAATTTGGTCCATGGCATCCGTGTACAGCAGCAGTGTTCAATCCAGTGTTACTGTGAGTTTCTAAGGTCTTAGAAATGACAAGGGAAGAAGGTTGAGAGGTTAATAACTTGAGAAATATGTTTAAACAAGGTGGTGAGTGGTAGTCTCCATTGTGGTATCAAGGAGTTGGGATTCTACCATGTAACTTTTTTTTTCCCCCTGTCAGGACCTTGCTTTCAAGTACAATTGGCCTTACAGTGTGTGTTGCTTTCTTTTCCACTTTTAGGATTAAGCATGAAAACATCGTTGCCCTGGAAGATATTTATGAAAGCCCGAATCACCTGTACTTGGTTATGCAACTGTAAGTACCTTTTTGATGAGGGCGGAGGGGTGTGAGCCCCAGCACCTCAACAAACAAATGCCGTGGGCTGTGTGAGGTCACCAGAGAGCAAAGGTGGCCCCAGATGGGGCACACTGGCATCCTTAGACCTGAGTGGGCCCATTCTGTGACTGTGGGGTCCTCATAGCTGGGCTCCATGCTAGTGTTGCTCTGTGTCTCTATGACTGCATCTTGTGCCAGGGCCAAGTGCTGCCCAAAGACACTTCAGTGGGGAACACTTTGCTCTCATCTCTAGGAGGCACTCCCACCCCTGTCTTCATTTCCAGGGGTGCTGGGGAGGAAAGCAGATGGCACTGTGTGCTCCGACCCTTCCCATCTCTCCCTGCGGTGGATAGATAGAGTCACTTGTGAGTGAGCTGGGGATCCGTGGCAGACACGGTAAAGGAAAGTATTACCAGAGTCAGATGGTGACCTTGCCGCCTCCATTAGACGGTCTCTGCAATCTGCAAACACCTAGGATTTCCAAGACAGGGAGGAAGTGAGACTATCAGATAGAGATGACTTATAAGAATTGTTGTTGGTTTTTTTTTTTTTTTTTTACTTTAAGGTGAAATTGTCATTCTCCCTACAACAATGCTTCACTTTAAGCGTGTGATTACCAGGAGTACTTCATTCTGTATTTACTAGACTTAAGTATTAGAAATCGCTCAGAATGCTAGGCCACCTCCATGGCCTGCATGGGTGACTACAGGGCCATCACCTTGTTGACTCCTGAGGTTTTGAGGACTGTGAATTTGATTGTTTATTAAGAGAGTCAGACCCTGAATTGCCAAAGCTGTGCTTCCAGGAAGTGGTGGCCAGGGGGAAGCTGACGAATGCTTTTCAGGTGTTTTCCTCCTTTCGGATGCTCGAACGACTTTATCTCCTGGAGACCATGTTGCTACAAAGAAGTATTCATCAGTTCCCTTTTAAATTTTTAATCATTTCATTGCTTTTAAGATAGTCTCATAGGTGAGAATATCATGGTATTTTGGGTAAATAATGTAGAAGTGTCCCATTTGAAAGCATTAGTCTGACTCTAACATTGACAATAAGTCAGGTTATTGCATGATTTGGGGTAGACTGTCTAGTTCCCCAGGAATCTTTCATATATATATATATATATATATATATATATATATATAACATTTATTTTTCTGTCACATATATATGTATATATATATGTATACATATATACATATATATGTGTGTGTGACAGAAAAAATATATATATATATATATATATATATATCACATTTCTGTTTTTCTTTCTTATCAAGTAATAACTCTCCCCGGATTTAGAGACAGTCTTTACTCTCTAAAGATAGAAATGAGTTATTTTCAAATATTGACTTCCCAGCAGGAAGAATATAACATTTTGGTGATGAGCAAAAGCCCTATAAAGTGTCAGCTGTGTATTGAACCGCGTGACATTTATTTTTTTTTGATAAGACAAAATGACTAGTACTAGAGCCAGAACCCAAAGGTCTGTGCACTTACTTACTTCAGGCTTTCGTGTCTAGAAATACATCACACATCACTTGAAGTACCCCAGAGATGGAAATCGCAGCAGTGCCACCAGCTAGCTGGATGAATTTGGGCAAAATAAGCAGACTTTACTGAGGAACACTTTCTGTAATGGACAGAGGGAAAGATGGCAATGTTTGCTTTAGAGGTGTGGTGGGGAATGTGTGGGAAATGAATGGGTCCTGAATGCATGCAGCTTCCTTGTGGACATCTGTGTCACTTAATCAAAATATCTCTGCAGAGGCTCTTCAGCTTTAACAAGATGGAGTTCCTATAGACCTCAGCCTTGATTCTCTGAACAGCCTGGCTGTGTGCTCACCAACATAAGCATGTGTAGGGAGGAGTGAGCATGAGGACAGCCAAGAGTCTAGAACAGACCTGATCTTAGACCAGAGCTTGGCGAGCCTGGGTTCAGCACAGACACTATGCTTCTCAGATAAGAACATCCTCTCTTGTTGCTTTAGAAAGCTTCAGTAACAAGGACCACACTCACAGAGATTTCCTAGTGTCTCAGAGAGGATTTTAGGGAGAAATCAACTACATTTTGGTGGGAGCTCTGGGTAGATTTGTTAGCTAAATCAACCACAAAATCCTGAACTTAAGGTGATGGGTGTTTGAGTTACCTGAAGAGCAGAGCTATGTATCTGCATTGTTAAGCTTAGAAGTGCTGGATATGCCAGTTACAGCAGGAGAACAATCACGTTTCTTTGGTTTTTATTACTCTTTCAGAATCTATTTTATTGAAGTGTAAATCACAAAATATATTGCATTTCGTTGAACCGGACATCTCAGTGATGAACATAACACCACCATGTCTGATCTCCCCAGTCCCCGCCCCTGAAAAAAGCTTTCTTTTCTTGTGTCCCTTCAACACCTCCTTCACTAACCAATGAAGCAATCAATGATTTAACTTTCACTAGAGATTTTTGTTTTTGTATTCTGAAATATAGAAATGGAGTCATATAGTCTGTACTCATTTGTGTGTGGTTTAATTCACTCATAAGAGTATTCTCTATTCAGGGGCTTTGTTGAAGAAAACTTTAATATTCTCAACTGCTTTGGTAGCTTTGTCGAAAAGCAATTGCCTGGACCAGTGAGATGGGCCTGCAGGTAAAGTTCGTGCTGCAGAGCCTGACACCTTGAGTTAATCCTTGGGTCCCACGTGGTGGAGAGAGAACCAGCCTGATGAGTTGTCTTCCGGATTCCACAAATGTGCTAATGGCACATGCACACACACACACACACACACACACACACGTGTGTGCACACACACGATAAATGTTTTAATTAAAATATTACTTGATCATATTTCTGTGCTCATTCCGTTCTATGTATCTGTCTTTGTGTCAATATTATGCAATATCACAGCTCTAAAGCACATCTTAAGAGTTAGCTAGTATAATGCCCTTTATCATTTATTATTTTATAAAACAACCTTGACTTTATGAGAATAGATTGTTCATATAATTTTTAAATCAATTTTTGACATTTGTGGAGATGTCATTTTGATATTTGTAGAAATCTTGTTTGGGATTGCATAGAATCTAAGCAAAATTTCGAGAGCAATTGACAACTTAAATTTGAGCTTTAATTCAGAAACACGACCTGTTTCCCTGTTAGGTCACTTATGTAGGTCTGCATTTTACAATTTTTAGTATGTGGGCCTCTCATATCTTTGCTCAGTTTAATCTGAAATGTTTCTTCTTGTTGATCCTGTTGTAACCGGATGTTATTTCATTTTTCCAGTTGCTTGCTAGTGGGTAAAAATACAATGAACTTTCATAAGGATTCCCATGGTAGTTTAAGTAGTTGTTTTATGTAAAGTTTTTAGCATTTTCTGCACTAATTCTTGTTAACTCCCAAAAGAATTCTATACAGTAAAACTTTGAAAGTTTAGTTTCAAATATCAAGTATATTTTAAGGTAATATTGTATGTCTTTGAAATAGCTTTTGTCTATTTTGGGAATTCAAATAAACAACCCAGATCTTTCCTCTCTTCCAGCATCTAAATCAGATGTTTTAAATGTAATGACAAAAAGAAAGAAGAAAAAGCAATGGTGAAACCCCCTCCATGTATCGGAATACAGTATTCTTGGAAAGATGTAGCCTTGCTTTGGGGATTTTTTTTTTTTTTTTTTCACTGTGTGGTTATTTCCGTCATTGTTTTGGGTTTTATTTGCCAAGGCTTTGATAGCCTTTGCTTCTGAGGTTGGTTGTATGGTTTTTGGGTCTGGGTTAGTAGAAAGTAGTTTTGTTCTTTTGGTTTTTGTTTGCTTGTTTATGTTTGCTTTCACTTCTGAGTCACTTGAAAGTCCTTGATTTGTAAATATGTAGGATTTAGAATTCAATATTAGGGAGTACTGGATTTCACAATGTTTGTGCATGGGAGGGTTGTAGAGACCTAGGGAACATTGTCTTCAGCACTGAGGTACGTCAGCACCTTAACTCTAGTGCACTTCTAATTGCTGACTCCATTCTGAGGGTGGAGTGTATTTGTCTTATGCCGCCATAGGGAAGATTAATTGTTTAAGGGGTATTTATTTACATTTTATTTGGGTTTTAGACAAATATATATTTTTTCTCAGAATGCTACTTGGGGGACACTCTTCTATGGATAGTAAGAGACTGAGATCAGCTCATTTATATAACTGCTATAACCTATAGATGAGAAATTACTTTATTTCTCATCTATCTTTGCTTGTGGACCATCAGTCCTCTATTTGGAAATGAAAAAGGGCTACCCCCCTTATCACATCTATAGTGGGCTGAATAAAATGGAGGCTGATACAAGAAAGTATACATTTAAAGGGCTGTGGGTCAAATACTTGGCATGCAAACATGAGGACCTGTGTTCATATTCTCTGAACCCACATAAGGCTCGATACAACCGCACACATCTGTAATCCCGTTATTCCTACTGTGGGATGAGAGATGGAGATAGAGTTCCAGGAAGCTCATGGCCCAACTAGCCTGGCATACGCCAGGGTCTTAACACATACATCATAGCACGCACCCCCACACTCATGAGCACATGTACATACATGCATACTTATGTGTACACCTAAACAAACAAAAGATTATATCGGAAGTACTTTTGTAGAAAAGAAATGGATTATATTGCTACTGTGTTTTTCCCACCTTTCCAATAAGGCTTTAGGATTCACACATGGGTACCTCTTGAATCTGTCTCCAGCCTGGAACTACTTGGCAGCGTCACTTGGTTGTGTAGTAAGATCCATTCAAAATTCCCTCAAAAGCTCCTCCTGGTATCTGTCTCATCTTAGCAAATTGACAGAGCCCTCTTCCCAATATCTTGAACTCAACACCTACAGTCTCCCTACAATCTTCTTTCTCCCCCAACAAACTCAGCTACCCAATGTGACCAACTACATAGTCTCACAGCTATTATCCGGGCCCAAGGGACCTGTCTTTCTTTTCTCAAGCTTACCACTGGT